ACTGGACAAAGGAAAAGAAAGCAAAGATATAAAGATCTAGAATTAGTGATGATAAAGGTGACACAAGAAGAGATCCAAGTGTGTTAAAAAGAATAGTAGCACAGCACTGTGAAAGACCTCACTCCAACAAGTTTGATAGAAGAACTGGGCCACTACATAGAAATACACCAACCATCCAAATTAATGCAGACAGATGTTGAAAACCTGAAAATACCAGTAAAAAGGGGAAAAAACGGATAAAGTATTCAATAAACTTCTGATCAAGGAAATCCCAAAAACAGATGGCTTCACAGGGGAATTCTACCAAGTATTCGTGAAGAGAGCTCTGAAAAAGAAATGCCGCGAACCATACCATTTACAATAGGCACACAAAAGATGCATGACCTAGCAACCCAACCTAACCGACAAAACAAAATGCCCAAAATACCTGTACAAAGAAAATGACAAGAGAATATTAAAAGAAACAAACAAAAACAGACCTACACAAATTGAAAAATATTCTGTGTTCATGAGTAGGAAGACTTCATATTGTGAAATTTTCAATACTACCTAACACAATCTAAAATATCACAAAATTCGGAGTTAATTCCAATGGTGGGATTTATCCTGCTCTTATTGGCTCAGCAGAACCAATATATTATTTGTTGAGTGCTGTGCACCAGTTGTTAAAATAGCACGTGTAATCAGGGTTCTCTCTAAAGTAGATGACTGGCAGTCACCCAATGTGACGATCACAAATTTATATTCCTTACTCTTATTTAATGTGTACCTCTTTTATTATTCTTATTATGTATTAACTGTATGAAATAATAAACTACCTTTTAGGATACGGTGGGTAGGGGCACAACAATGGCACAACAGACAAGGGATTAATTTCTAAAATTTATAGAATTTTGAAACACTGCAGTTAAGATAGAAACAATCTTATTAAAAGGTGAGCAAAGAAAATGGGTAATGCACAAAGGATGGCATTCCACTGGCTAATAAACATGCTCACAATCAGGGAGATGCAAATAAAAATAATCATGCGATTACTATATGCTGTGATAGCCCAAATAAAAAATACCGAACAACAAATGCTGGAGAGATGGAACCTTTTATACTGATGGTGCGCTTGTAAATATGTAAAACTAATGTGGAAAGCAATATGGCATTACCTGAAACAACTGGGCCACCACTTGTCTGTAACTTTTTCATACTGTGGTGGCTTGTGAGTCGCGGTGATGCTGGAAGAGACAGTTGTGGGAACAGAACGAGGAAGACTGCATGGTTTGAAATCAGGAAAAGTGTGCATCAGGGATGTATTCTCTCACTATATTTATTCAATCTCTATGCTGAACAAATAGAGAAACTGGATTATATGAAGAAGAATGCAGCATCAGAACTGTAGGAAGGCTTAGTAACAACCTGTGATATACAAATGACACAACCTTGCTTGCTGAAAGTGAAGAGGACTTGAAGCCCTTGTTGATGAAGATCAAGGATTGCAGCCTTCAGTATGGATTACACCAATGTAAAGAGGACCCAAATCCTTACAACCGAAACAATAAGAAACATCATTAATGATAGAGGAAAGATTGAGGTTGTCAAGGATTTTGTCTTGCTTGGATCCAAAATTAATGCTCACCGAAGCATCACTTAAAAGATCAAAATATGCATTAAAAAATGTAAGTCTACTGCATTAGAGTATTGAAAAGCAAAGACATTACTTTGAGGTCTAAGGTGGGCCTGACCCAAGCCGTGGAACTTTCAATAGCCTCATGTGCATGTGAATGTTGGATATTGAATAATAAAACCAATGTATTTGCAGTGTGGTACTGGAAAGAAAAATTGTAATGACCATGGACTACTAAAAGAACAAACTGATCTCTCTGGAAAACCTATGTCCCAAGTGCTCTTCCGAGGCCAGGATGGTGAAATTTCACCTTACATACTTGGGGCATCTTGTCAGGACAGACCAGTCACTGGAGAAGGACATCATCCTTGGTGAAGGGCAGGGAAAATGAGGAAGTCCCACAACAAGATAAATTCACACAGTGGCTGCAACAACGGGATCAAACATTGGACCATTGTGAGGCTGATCCAGGATGAGCTCGTGTTGTGTCCTGTTCTGTTGTTCATAGGGTCTCTATGGGTTGGAACTGGTTACACCTGAAAACAACAATAAGTACCATACAACCCAGCAATACCTTTGCTGGACATACACCCCAAAGAAATAAGAGACAGAACATGGGCAGACACATAATGTCTCATGTTCATTGCAGAAGAGTTCACAATAGAAAAAGGTAGAAACAACCCAAATACCTATCAGTAAAAGGGTAGCTAAAGACACTGTGGCACATACAGACAATGGAATACTACGCATCTCTGGAAACCAGTGGTGAAACCATGACACACCTCAGCATAGATGGACCTGGAAACCATTAGGCTGAGTGAAGTTAGTCAATCACAGAAGGATGCGTATTGTGTGAGTTCACTCAAAGGGTAAACACCAAGACTAAGGCAGCCTCCTGTTCTCAGGAGGTAGAGAGCCTGCCTCCTGCCCAGAAACCTTCTTCACATGTACATGTCAAAAACCACTTCAGTGGATGAGGGCTCATCTTAGGTAGGGTCAGTTCCTTGTGCTAAGGTCCCCCTGATCAACAGCTACCCGTACAAGAGTGATAAGTTAACCCTACTGGAACTTCATGTCAAGATAGGCAAGCAGGCATGTCTATCTAGAAGAAGGTTAGATTAGATTTCTGTTGGTGTATTAACCAGGTGGAACAACTGCCCATTAGGAAGAATCGCTTAACAACACTTACACAGAACCCAAAGGGCAAATATGTCTGGTATTATGGTTCCTATTTGGAAATTCTGACCTAGTTTTATTTAGACGCAGACCATGTGGTCTATACTACTGGGGTTTTCGACGCTGATCTTTTGAGGCACAAAAATCCTTCATAGGCCACGCCAGAAAAAGTTGATATGGAAACCCCACCAAGTGAATTAGGCTTTACATCACACTCACCTGTAGCAGATTTAAGGAATGGACATACTCCCTTGTGTTTAAGGCTGAGAAGAAGCAGATGACTGCTATTCTAAGGTTATGTAAATGGTAGTCCCTGGGCTTTGGTTTGGATCTCTTGCTATGAGGGTGACCAGTGAAAGGTGGCCCAGCACTACCATATACGTCATGCTTTTCTTGCTTTCTTAAGATGTGCATTAATTTGGCTAGCATAGTTCTGCCTTTGTGATTGAGAGGTTTTTTTGGAAAATTTTGCTCTATCGTCATCTCCCATTGTTTGTGTAAATTAAGCATTTAACCTGTACAATTCACCAATACATGTACTAGGGTTCAAAGCCAGCCTATATTTGAATAATTTCCTTTTCTCAAAAGTATTTTAAATTCTATATAATTGGCTAAATGAATGGCATTATCAATAGAATTACATTATGCCCCAGGGAGATGATTTATAATGATCTCTATCATAAAAATATCTTGATGCTTGTAAAGTGAATCAGAAACATATAAATCATAGGTAGATGAATGGATTTGGGGGTCTCAATTCTAGTTTGAATCTAAGAACAATTGGTTCTCATGATTTGGTCTAGCTTGGTGCTCATTCTCATGAAGAGATGATTAAAGTTATGGGTGTTTTAGCAAAATGTGGTGAAGAAACCAGATGATGTCCATTAATGAGAAACAATAGCTTCTGGGGTCTTAAAGGCTTGTCTTCAAACAAGCAGCGATCTAAGCGAAACACCAATTAAGTCCACATGAAAGAAGCACACTAGCCTGTGGAATCCAAAGATTGTAAATTATCAGATCCAAATGAGAAAGGAATAGTATCAGAATGAAAGCTATGGATGAGAGTGAAAGCCCAATATCCATTTGCAGAGTCCCCACATAGCTTAAACCTTGCTATCAGACAAATCATTATAAAGTCAATGACCATCATTGACTTTATAATGATTTCTGTAGAGACGGTAACTGGATTGATAATTGCCTGTGGCACGACAGGGAAGAATGGGGGATGGGAAGTAATAACCAGTCTATGAAGAAACTTTTTCTGAAATTTATTTTGGTGGTGATTGAAATATGATTGAAATACTAAATTGTATGTTTTGTGAAGTAGATGCAAATAAAACTATTAAACAAAGGGAAAAAAGAACTCTATGCAGATATACAAAGGCTACAAAAATGCTCCTCAGCACCCACCTCCCCACCCCAAGAAAATAGAGCTAAGAAAATGAGTAAGACATAAATGAATTCGATTAGGACCATCACTATCTTTGTTATATATGATCATTTTGGCATCAATTAGCTGACCATACTACAACTTTCCCCCAATAAGTGTGCTAAATTTCTCTCCAAACCGACAGAATCATTTTGCAAAGAATATTGCTGAAGAAGTTGTACATTTGGTTTTAATCATGTGAATATTCCATTTTTTCTGTCTCTCCTAAACTGTGGTTTTCATGTTTTGCATGATTACAGAAGCAATATAATAATTTGGAGTAAGTATAGCCATATTTTACAAAATACAAGTAGTGAAGTTTAGAGGAAACCATTTAGTTTTGGTAATTTTTAATCAAGGTTATGAAATTGAGAGGCCCTTAGGAACAGTTGTACTGAATTGGAACTCTCATTATTTGATGATGGCTGTGATTTTTACAGTGCATCATGCATAGTAAGTAATATAGAAATAAGTTAAAACATCCCTCTGACTTTATCACTTATGTTGGTCCAAAAAAAAGAATAAATATTAATTTCCTCATAGCTCCTCTTTTTAAAAAGTATTTAAAATTATAAATAATAGAATTTATATAATGGTGAATGTCTTATAAATATGTTCTTTTCCCCAAAATTGGATTATTTCACAGAGAAGTATTGCATTTTAATATTTGTGTATTTAAAATTATTACTTATAAGTTAAATTTCAATTATTATAGTTTTTCTTTATATAATATCAGATTTTTATAATTCAAAAACTATGTATGTTGCCATTTCTTTTTAGGGAATCCCAGGATTTCCTGGAAATCAAGGATTAGTGGGACAGAAGGTAAGCATTAATGAGGGTTGAAAGTTTTGTTAATAGATCTGGTAATTAAGAGGACAAAATGACGACACATAATTCTCTTCATACGTGGTTGTTGGATACCATCACGTCAGCTCTGATGCATAACAGAATGAAGCCTGCCTGGTGCTGCACCATGCTCACCACTGTTAGCATGTGTGCCCTGGGTCTGTTCACCATGTTGGGGGCTTTCTTCTTTTCACTGACTCGCTACCAGGTGCCATGTCCTTTCCCAAGGACTGGTCTCTACTGATGACTTGTCCAAAGTATGTGAAAGGAAGTCTCATCTGTTCTTCCCTCCAACGAGCATTATGGGTGTACCCCCTGGAATATAGATGTGTTCATTCCTCTGGTGGTCTATGGTACTTTCAGTGTTTTTTGCACATGCCATAATGCAAAGTTCTCCCTTCTCCAGTCTTCCCATTGGTTGTCTAGCTTTCAGATGCATATGAGGCTGTGGAAAATTTCGTGGCTTGGATCAGGAGCACCTCAGTCCTCAAAGTGACATTTTTGCTCTTTAATACCTTCAAGAAGCTTTATGCAGCACATATAGCTTCACTTAGGATACAGTTTCCCCCCCACATTCATAGCAACAATTATTGATATAATTTTAGATGCTAATATTTTGACCTAACATATTGATTGTCATTTGGGGGGTATTTTATGCTAAAACCAAAAATTCACTGCCATCAAATCAACTATGACTCATAGAAACCTTACAGGACCATGTAGAGCTGCCACTGTGGGTTCCTGGGAATGTAATTTTTACATGGGTAGAAAGCCTTGTCTTTCTCCAGCTTAGAACCTGGTCGTTTGAAAGTGTTGGCCTGCGGTTAGCAACCCCACATATAAACCACGATGTTACTAGGGCTACAGGTACTACGAATTAGGGTTGGCCTTCATGTTGTATCCATTTCACTTGCTTGTATGTTATCCACCTCTCTGAAACTAATTTGGGAAAATTCTGTTGCCTCCCAAAATAACTTTGTATCTCTTTTTAGCATTTTTTAATGTGGATATCTTGATATTAAGTTTTAATTTTTACTTTATGCCCCCTTTTAATCTTTTTTGAAGACTATACAATGTAAGATTAATCATTCTTTTAATATGTAGAGGATATTATTTCATTATCTACTAAACTCCAATGACTACATTTAAAAATCTGCTGTCACTGTAGAAGCAATATGGAGCTAATATACATACATATTTTATTCCTCTTTTTTTTCCTACACTACAAACCCGAAACTTAATCTTTCATTCTCATTAATTCTATTTATATACTGGGTAAATATTTTGAAGGAAGGGACTATGTATCCAATTTTACTTCATGCTTACTATCCTGTTTAACCCATTAACTTTTTTGGTTGATTTTGGCCCACTGGCCCCTTTTCAGAAAAAACAACAACTCAGCACCAAACTGGCAATGAAAATCCCTCGTGCTGCCGCCCACTATCCAGGGTACAGTGCAGATACCTGTTTTTGCAGCCCGTGGATCATTCAAGTAGCTCTGCTCCAGGGCAGGGTATCACTCACGTTGGGAAACACTGCTATAGTCTCTCAGTCTTGTGCCATTTTATTTTTATAGTTGGCTTTGAACTTATTGCTTGATATTAATTAGTGGAAGTACTATAAGCCTAATAAAGGAATGACAAACTTTCTCAGTGGTTTTCAACCTGGGGGTCGCGACCCCTTTGGGGGCCGAACAACCCTTTCACAGGGGTTGCCTGATTCATAACAGTAGCAAAATTACAGTTATGAAGTAGCAATGAAAATAATGTTATAGTTGGGGGTTCACCACAACATGAGAAGCTGTATGAAAGGGTCGCAGCTTTAGGAAGGTTGAGAACCACTGTTCTAGATGATCAGGGTAGCATTTCAGCCCTCTTGAGAGCCTTGGGTCATTGTCGATACTAAAGATTCCTGCCAGCTCCCCATTACTGGCCCAGCAATGGATTGAGAATGAACTGTCAAAGTCTCCCTCTCTCTGTTGCTCCCTGCATTCTTTACATCTGGCCACATTTCTGCCAGTTCGAAATTGTCATAAATATAACACAAATTCAGGGCCTACATGTGTATATGTTTATGAAAAATGAGAGATCTTTGAAAAACTCTTCCTACTTTTAAAACAAGCTCTGCCTCCCAAAGTGTCAGTGATGAGATGGTTGTTTTACATGCAGGGGACCTCTGGCAGACAAAATTTGAGACACTCAAGTCTAAATTCTGTCCCTATAATTTTCCTTCTCAGTTATAGCTACGTAAGATCTATGATATTGATAAGATCATTAATTTTTTTATTTTATTTATTTTTTAATCATTTTATTGTGGGCTCATACAACTCTTATAACAATCCATCCATCCATCCATTATGTCAAGCACATTTGTACATTTGTTGCCATCATCATTCTCAAAACATTTTCTTCTCCTTGAGCCCTTGGTATCAGCTCCTCATTTTCCCCCTCCCTCTCTGCCCCACCTTATGAACCCTTGATAATTTAGAAATTATTATTATTTTGTGATGACTTACACTATCCACTGTCTCCCTTCACCCACTTTTCTGTTGTCCGTCCCCCAGAGAAGGGGTTATGTGTAGGTCCTTGTGATCGGTTCCCCCTTTCTACCTTTTTATTTTATTCTCTCATCTCCCTAACTCTGTGTGAGTGGCTAGGTCTTCCTTTACATCAGTTCCTATTTTCTAGTGAAATATTTCAGCTAGTAATTCCACAGCTTTTAGCTCTAGTTCTTTAAAGTGTTTGAGTCCTGGTTTTCCTACTTTGCCTTGCTTCTTTCTTAGAGTGAAGAAAAGACAATAAAGTGGGACTGGTTGGTATTGCTTTTTTATTCCATAGTGCCTTCCTAGAAAATGCCTGGAAATTCATAAATTATTTGAACAAATTTGAAAATTTTTATTTAAAACATAATTAAAATTAAAATTTTAATTTGTATTTGTCTTTTATTTTAGGGAGAAACTGGGCCTCCAGGACCACAAGGGAAAAAAGGAGTCCCAGGCTTGCCTGTATGTTGATATTATTATTATAGAAATAGGGGATTCGAGAATGATGTTTTGAGGGTCTATTTTATACATTTACATTTAAAGTTTTATATATGTATTGCTATTTTTATAGATGAGAGAATGAATTCTCTCAAAAAATTGATGCCTCCCCAAAAGTTCAAGAAGCTTTGCTTTAACAAATAGCAAAATATTTTAGCTATTCATTAAAAAATACTGAGTACTAAAAAATATATATATATACTGAGTACTGTGACAAAAAATTAAAATCAGTGGGTTCCCTTTCTTTTAAAAACTTAAGATATATTAAAGGTAGTCGTAGTTACTTTTAAGAAAAGTCACTGGCATAAAACAAAGAATCCGAAGAATAGCGACCTCACTCCTAGTAAGGTGAGGAGAGGGGGTGGCTGTAATGATGTCAAATACTCAAGCAATTAAGAGGTTGAATCTCCAATTATGACAAACAACCACCATCTAAGTAAAAGGGTGCTGTCTTTATTGAAAGAAATAGCCGTTGATTTACCTCCTCAGACCAACCTGATATAAAAGAGGACCTGAAGAAGATTCTGGAAAAGTTCCATCATCTTTCAGTTCTAGTTTCCATGGACTGTCTTGAATGTCTTTGGATCTTCAATAAATCTACTAGCATCTGTTCTTATAAAGTATAGCTTTACAGGGAAAACTACTCTAGTTAGTTCTTTTTCATATTACAAAAATGAGAGTGAATACAATCAGAAAAGCAATTGTTTAGGAAGGTTTTAAATAGTGACCATGTTTTAAAAACTTTAGGAGAAAAGGTCAATGCAGTTTACTTTTTTTGCATGTATAAAATTCCATAATTGTTTTCTGCATTAATTACTAAAGGAAGCTACTGTGAATCAAACTGACTGTAATAATTTTCTCTTTAATTAAAGTAATTTGATTTTCTGTTTTCAAATTTGTGACTTTTGATTATGTAAGATGAATAAATAAATATGTCACTCATGTTGGTAAAATATATAGAGAATTTTTACATATAAATAAGTAGGGAAAATATCTGTTTACTGAGCTCACTGTTTTCACAATTGAATTGAAGTGTTGGCAGCTCTCCATTTTGTGTTTAGTATTTTACTGTCTTTCCATTCCCTGCTGTTTGTAGGTTATTTGAGCAACAGAATATGCAAGGACACTAATACCCTTCGTGCTATATTGTCCAATTGGATTCTTTTATTATTCTTTATTTGCATTTGTGGAAACTTATCCAATATCATACTATAGTTTACTGGGTTAATTATGGGAATGTGTAACTTGGAAATGGATTGAACATTTTAAGATGATTCCATCTAAATTATTTTTGAAATTTTTCACTTAAAAATGTAGGGCTTGCTGGGAAATGATGGCTCACCAGGTCAACCTGGAACACCAGGATCTAAGGTAAATATCATAAAGAATTCAACACAAATATACATAATAACTATATAGAAAAAAAAGAATTTATTTAATTATATGTTTATTATTTGATATTTTATTAATATAACATAAATTAATGATATATCATTTATTATTAATAATTGTATGCTAAACATAAATAAATATTAAATATAATGATAAATTTTACAGGCACTAGTACCTTGTCCAGAAATACCATTCATGTTATTCAGTACAATGTTTTAAAACTTCGATTTTATTTTGAATTGCTTTCATCCTATGGTTGATCACTCCGAGGAGTGACATCTCAGGCAAACAGTTGGGACGTCGACACAACTGGCTCACGTGTAGCAGGTTTGTTTTAAGCTAGACAAGGACCAGTAGCCTCCACCACTCAGCCCCTGCTCTAATTGCCATCCCCCGGCTCTGAGAAATGCTCAGAGTGCTGTGAATTTTAGTGCCCAAACCACTGCTGTAGAGCATGTGTAGCTATGATTGAGGACAGTTCTTGACTAGTTTATTTGGAGGAATTCATGTGGAATTTTTATTAGTAAAATGCTTTGTGGTACATTTTCTTTGGCATTCCCTTCTGGTCCTCCTTCCCCTGACCCGTCCACTAGGTTAAAAAAAGGGGAGTAGGGGAGGAGTGGAGGCGCAAGAATCACAAATTTAGAAAGTTGGATTATAGCATGGAACCTCTTTACATACCAGTTTTAACCACTGCCTTTCTAACAATATAAAATTCTGTTTTAAAACATGACTTGTTTAATCTCTTGTTTAGTCAGTGAGTCAAACCTAGTACATCTGGCTAGACTCAAGAAACTATTCCCAGTTATTGGATGAGTAGCATTGAACAATCTTTGAAACAGGAAGTGAGGGAATTGCTCTTTTGGAAGCTCTTGATAGGACCAGGCAGGTCCTAGGAAAAGATCCTGGCATAGGGCATGAATGAGTAGATGACCGAATCTGTTCCACTGAGTTTCTACAGTGTTTAGATAAAGAGACAGGATAAAATGCCCTGGGAGGCCAGTGAGTAGGGAAACAGCTGTTCTTTCACCAGCTGCGACCCTGAGAGTGAGTGAGTGAGTTCTGGCCGTAGTAGGTGTACATAGAGTTGGTATAAGCCCACATACAAGGTGAAACCTATATAATGAAAAAATGATACTCTTTGCTGAAGCACACAAATGTGCTTTGTTTGTGGGACAAATCACTGAATTACCAGTTGGGCCCTTGCGTGTCCCTCTTACCTACTTTAAATACATTGCTCCCAGTTAGGGTAGATGACCTTCCCAGATGGAGCATAATTATTCTTGGGTGACAAAATTTAGCCATTGGACTCACCATATATAGACTCTCTACAATTTCACAAGGTCATTTTATAAGAACATTTAAAATAATTTAAAATTTTTTTGGTAACAGAGACACATTGGATTCTTTCATGGTTTTCTGACTGCTTAAATTCTTAATAATGCAAATTAAAATTTCATCAGCCTTTTTGTTTATATATTTATTTGTTTTGAAACTAACAGTCACAGTATAGTTGGCTTACAATGAGCTAGAGGTCAATTAAATCTGCTAGGTTTCCCCCAAACATCTCTTGAACAATGCATTTGTGGGATCCACCATGTAATAATTGTTGTTAGTTGCAGTCCAATCAGTTTGCACTCATCGTGCCCTGTGTACAATAGAAAGGATCACTGCCTGGTTCGGGGCCATCCTCGTCGTTTTCCTGGGGAGTCCATTGCTGCAGCCACTGTGTCAATCCATCTTGTCCAAGGCCACTTTTTTTCACCGCCTCTCTACCTTAAAGTATTATATCCTTCTTTGGGACTGGCTACTCCTGAAAACATGTCCACAGTAGGTGAGTCAGAGACTCGACAACCAGGAGCATTCTGGTTGTACTTATAAGGCAGATTTGTTTGTTGCTTTGGCAGTTCATGGTACTTGAAATATTCTTTGCCAGCACCATGATTCAAATATGTTGATTCTTCTTCAGTCTTCCTTATTCAATGTTGACCTTTCACATGCACATGAGACAACTGTAAAGACCATGGCTGGGGCCAATTACCGTGGTTCTCAAAGTAACATCCTTGCTTTTCAACACCTTAAAGAAGTCTTGGGCAACAGATTTACCTCATACAGGACATCATTTGGTCTCTTGGTTGCTACTTCAGTGAGCATTGGTTATGAATCTATGCAAGACCCAATCCTTGGCAACTCCAGTCTTTTCTCTATTTATCATGATGTTACCTATGTATGGGTCCAGTTGGGAGGATCTGTGTTTTCTTCACACTGACTTGTAGTCCATACTGAAGGCTGTGATCCGTGGTCTTCATCAGCAAGCGCTTCACGTCCTCGTTTTCATCAAGCAAGGTGGTGTCACATGTAATTAGGTTCTGACCATGTGGCTGGGTTGACAAACAATTCTTTCTGGCATCAGAGTTTGTTTATTTTTATGTAGACAGCTACAAAGTATGGTTTCCTCTCATGTGGTACAATTATTTTGATTAAGCAATAGACTATGGATGTTAAAATTATATCCATTGAATTTTATATTTACTTTTTTAAATCACTTTATTAGGAGCTCATACAACTCTTATCACAAACCATACATACACCAATTGTGTAAAGCACATTTGTACATTCATTGCCCTTATCATCCTCAAAACATTTGCTCTCTACTTAAGCCCCTGGCATCAGCTCCTCATTTTTGCCCATCCCTCACGTCTCCCCCCTCCCTCAAGAACACTTGATAATTTATAAATTATTATTTTGTCGTATCTTGCCCCATCAACATCTCCCTTCACCCACTTTTCTGTTGTCCGTCCCCCAGGGAGGAGGTTATATGTAGATCCTTGTAATCGGTTCCCTTTCCAAGCCACCCTCCCCCCACCCTCCCAGTATCACCACTAACACCACTAGTCCTGAAGGGATCATCCGCCCTGGATTCCCTGTGTTTC